GGATAAAGTTCCTTTCATTTGTCAAAACCATTGTTATTATTTTGGAAAAGCATGTTCTAAGTGAAGTTTGTTTTCTAGCTGGAAAAATGAAATTTACTGCTTACTGATCTGTGTCAGCCTTAGAAAGCACCGTTTTATTTTGTATTAGCTCAGTTCTGTGAGTAGTGGATCTCATTGATGGAAAGTGGGGAACCAAACATGTTTTTGAAAGGGAGTACACAAATCTGTGTGTTAGATGGTATCTATTAAGATTAGTAGGATTCTATTAATATTTCATGGAGAGGTGGGGAAAAGATTGCTGCACCAGCTACCACTTAATAAACAATAAGATAATATGACCAGGAATCTGCACCCCAAAGGTGTTATGGACACCTGAAACTTCTGCTGAAGTGACTAATTAAATAATGAAGTTGTAGAAATACAGCTAAGGGCTGGAAAAGTATAAGTAGCAGTTACTAGGAGGTGTTCCTCTGCTATTAACTATTGGATTCCCTTAACAGTTGAGTTGATTTCTTCAAACAGGTCAGTCTCACCTTTCATAAGTCATGCTGTTGTCTGGCATTTTATAGAAGTCATGTAGTGATGATGTTAAGAAAAAGACAAATTTACTGCCTGAGCCAGAAGGCAGGCTTACAAAAAGCAACTTCTTTCAGGACACGAAAAGCTCTTTGTTCTGTGGCCTTGGTCTTTTTGTGCTTTGACCCTTATTTTATAGCATTGTCACTCTGACCTTAAATCTTTGAAAGCAGACAAGCAGCAAATTTAGCCCTTTACAAGTGGGGTTTCATTCTGAGCTATGGGCCTGGTTTTTATCTTTAGGCATTATAGTCCCATACAATACTGAGATGTAACAAAATCTCAATTTAAGATTGTGGTTTGGCATACTGTAAATAGTTATTATTTCTATATAAGGCAATTAAAAAAAATGTTGCTCTGTTGCTGGCCTGTGGTTTGTAATTATTCACCAATTTGAGGTAAGACAGCAACTAGGAAGGCAGTCTGGCTAATACTGACCAATATATTTTTCACTTTCCTAGAAATACTTTGGAAATGGGTGCTGTGCACAGACCACCAGGGTTTCTGCACAAACGACTTGAATATTCTATTGAGGACAAGAAATGCTTTGCTATACATTCTAGAGTTAGAAGATTTAAACAGCAGTACTTGCATGGCCTTCTTTCATAAAAGGCTGTGCCAGCTTAGGGGAGCACAAAATTTTACACGAGGCCTGTGACTGTTACAAGAGCAAGTCTTCTGAGAACTTCATAAAACTAATTTTTTTTTTTTTTGTAAAAAAAACCAGCAAATTAATTAATAGAGAGAACCAATACTTGATAGATTTTAAAGCTTTGGGGTTTTTTTTATTTAATGTGTTTAAAAAGAGAACCTGTTTTTCCCTGTCTTAATAACTTTACATTATGTACATGGTTTGTATTGAACAGGTATTGTTGTTTGGAGAGGGATTGTCACTTTTTCTTTTATCACTAATGATTCTATATATTTCAGGTTTTGGAAACTTTAGCTATGATAATAGGGTAATCTTTTCTGAATGTAATAGTGTAATAATCTAAGTTTACATTTACTGGAAAGCTTGAAAATATTTATATTTTTTAATAATTTTTTTAATCTGAAAGGGTGCCAGAAAATTTTTTAATAGTCATACAGAAACTAAAGATTATATTCTAAGACAGATCTGGCTTTCTTTTTGATGGATCCACTATATTTAGTTATAATATTTTTTGTAATAAAATTGGGGGAAGGAACGTTTTAGTTACTACTATAATGAAATATAGAACTTATTTTGTAGAACTTAAAAAATAGCTTCTTAGTTTTTCTTAATTTTGTATGTGTCCTTTCAAGCAGAAAGAATGCTGGTACAGATTGAAAGTGTTCACACAGTTTTTCTTCCTGTGTGCTTGCCAAAGGTGCAGAGAAGACAGATTTTTAAAAGTTGTGTGCAAGCTATACCAGTGCAGTAAAGAGGGGTCTGGAAAACTTTTCTGAAATACAACTTTTACAAACTCTGCTAGAACTTGGAGCTTGTTATTTTACAAGTTCCCTGTAAAATGTTTCATATAGCAATCTAGTTAATGCATCAACTTCTGACAAAAAAACTTTTTAGAAGCTGGGAAAAGAGGTGAGAGGGGTTAGTCTTATTCAGTTTTATTTTTAAGCTGCAGTTGATTTTAAGATACAATTATGATATACCAAACAGTACACTGATAAATTTTTGAGTGCTATATCAGCTTCCCGTAGTTATGCTTTTTTTAGCTAGCAAGCTATAAAAATGGACATACTGTACTTGTTCAAGTCAGAACTGTCTACCTTTCGTTTTTTGCCGTTCACAGAAATCCATTGCATTCTGTTTGCTATTCATCACTCCAATAGAAGCATCAATATTGCAGAACCAAGTAACAGTCTTCACTTTGGTTTGTCTTCCTGAGTGCAAACAAGGGCGGGGGGGTGCACCTCATACAAATTAATACATGAATCAAGCAGTAGATGCAGTAGTTGAAGTCTTAGATTTAGTAAAAAGGATTTAAACAGAATTTGATGCTGAGAGTCCTTAACTGCACTTCTAAATTTCTAGGTATTTTTATACTTCTGAATTTCTCAATGGTTTTACTTCCTGGTTTTTATTTTTAGCTGGCTTTGTTATTTCATGTTTATCTTATGCAGTAGTTCTCCAGCTAGTCTAAATCTGTTTGTTCATGATCCTTGGAGAGATGGCTGGACACATGATATAGATTCTCCAAATTTAGTAGCAGTAAATTTCAGTAATCAGCAGTCATCTGCTTTACTTTAGTTATTAATACTTCACATTGCAAAAAGTGTAGTTCTCCCAGTCTTTTGCCATGATTATATGGGGAGTGTTGTTGACATAATCAGGAAATAGTGAACACGCAATTTTTTTTTTATATCAATGTTTGTGCTACCAAAACTCTAAATTAGTGCTAGGTATCTCTGCTCAAATATTCATCTTTTTGTTCAGAAAATTACTTAAAGCATTATTTTTGAATTTTTTTTTACACAACTTTATAATAGTCTTAGAAATATTCAGCTGCTTACTAGAAGGTATGGCTGGACCTATTATACATGGAGAGTGTGTATAAGCTTGGTCCTGGATTACTGCACCTCTTTGAGGAGAAAGTGAGGCAGATTTATTGCTGTGTTAGAGTTATTTAATTTTAAAAAAACCAAACACATGCAATTAAATTGCTAGTTTAGAGATAGATTTTTTTTTAATTATTTAATTTTTTTTTTTCTTTTTAGAACATAGAAACTTTAGAACTTTTTAGAACTGAAATTAAAAATCTCACTGTTACTGCAGGAGAATAGCAATCAAGGTATATAGTTTATTCTCCTAATTCTTCTTCCTCTAACCTCAATTAAGTTGAGTAAATTAACTGAGTATTGCAGGTTATGCCTGAACCAAATAATAATGGAATAGTAGCCGAAAGTATACACAGATATCTTTAATGTTCTGAAATATTTCAGTGGAATCTTTTCTTCTTTTTAAAAATACATGCATATCACTTTAAAGGCTGCTGACACCACAAATTAGATGGAAAGACAGTTCCTTAACAAAGAAGCAAGAATGCAGGAGTAAAATAATATACTTCTAAATCTTAGATTTGAGAAGGAACAAGAGTAATAAATTCTAGTATGATTGCAGTATAAATACTGCAGTGTTGAGTAAGCATATGACAAAAATAAAATGAAACTATTGTTTTAACTTGGAGAGAGGGGTGTAAACAGTGTATGAGAAAGATGCAGCTACATACACTTTTAGATCTGAGAATCTTAGAGAATGGAAATGTTCAGATTTCTTGGTAGTGAACAGTGAAATTTTCTCTTTTTCCCAGATTAATTCAATAAAACCCTAAAAGTATTTTCCAGTGTTGATCTGCCATTGTGTGCACTCATAGTTAGTGGTATGTTGGTAGCACTGAACTGTTAGAGGAGAGCATGGCAAATTTACCAGCAGTTGTCCAAAAAGCTACACTGCAAAATGTCCTGTCTAACATAGAAGTAACTTACTCCATTAATGGAATGCACAGAGCAGGACACACTTGTCAAAAATGCCCCACTTCATGCTGTGCCATCTCAGTGTAAACCCTGTCTCATTTCTGGTTCATCTAAGCTAACCTTGGGAAACTGAGATATGGACATTTATAATTGCTGATATCAGGGCTGTAGAGGATGGGCAGAGGATGCACTAGTGGACAAACGTAATGCTTTTACACTGTGGAACACTTCAGTCTTTCAGGTTCATCTTCAGTTTCCTAATTTTAATCTGAAATAAAGTTGGGAAAGGGTCACAATGAACAGTGAAGCAATAGCCTTGCTTTCATATTGGATCTGTTTTGTATTAATGAGTAAGGATGTGTTTTGTATTAATGAGTAAGGAACTAAAGCAATGGAATATGGTTGTGAGCAATGGTGTATAACACTATTGATGAGGAAGAGCTTCTGGCCAAGAAGTATCAAGGGAGTGCTTTTTTTGTATGACCAAAAGGCACAAGGTAAATGTTTGATTTTATATCATGTTCTTGGGTATTAGAGACAACATACAATGTTGAATACAAAGTCCTTGGTGTCTCTTACTCCAAGTCACTGGCCTGTCAGTCAGATTGCAGGCCTAGTGGTACCTTCTGGATATAATATGTTACATAGAGGTTTAAGGAGCTTATTAGTAGTTATAGTAGCATTTAAGGAGCTTATTAGTATGTATAGTAGCCAGAATTGACTTGTAGCTGGTTTTCATAGGGTCAGAAAAGATTGAGTTTGGCTTGGTGTTGTCATAAACTCTGAACTATAAACAATAAAAACCGGAAATTATATTTTATATTGGGCTTGGTCTTTGATAATCAACTAAAAAATACTGAAATCAAGGAAAGGCTCCTTCATTGCTTGGGAACACTCCAATTGCTAAAACAAGGGCAAATACATATACACATACACTTCTCTCTTTTTTTCCTTTTTTTTTTTTTTAACAGTTCCAGTGCATTTTTTTCAAAGAGCATTCCTGACTTGTGTACATGAGCTGCTTCTGAGGAATTTCAGTTTTGCATCTTCAGGATCCTTCTTCCTCAGCAGAGCTCTTGCTTATAGGGACTTGGGAAATGTAATGGATCTTCTTGCATACATGACTCCCAGCTTTTATTGAGGTCTTCTTTGTCAATCTGTCTCTCATCCACAGACTTAAAACACGAGGATGGAGGTAGGAGAAGCACTCATGGTAACAACTATATTGACTTTATGACCAAAGCATAACGGTACACAGCTTTGTGCAGACATTCCTGGATTTCAATAGATTCCCAGCTCAGCTATTAGTACACTTCTTATCTTAGACTTCCTCTTTTCATTCTTTTCCTGCTCCACAACCCCTTCTCTCACATAGACTGCCTTCAATTTTATGTGATAATTTACTTATTCTCCTTGCAGGTTAGATCTATTTTAATAGCAGTGTAGACAATATGCAGTCACATTGTGTTGAATTTTGGGTTGGTTGGTTTCTTTTGGGAAATTTTGTAGTAAAGTTAAAAAATAACCCAAACAACAAAACACCTTCCAAAATCATTAAAAAAAAAAAAAAAAAAAGGAAAACTCAAACAGTCTGGAATTCTGTAATTCATGCAAGGTTTTGTGTTCATGTTTTGTATGGGTGGGTGGAATTACCTGCAAGTTTTCTTACTAATGTACTTTCTGTAGAAAATAGCATAATAGTTCTGCCAAGTCTTCATTTCATGTTGTGGATAGTTTAATTTTAAAGGGATTTAGTTATGCAACAGGAAAAAACCTTTCCATACTTAAGCTAGAACCTGAAATCAACCAGGCAATTGAAAGAATAGTATCTGTTAAACACATGGAGTTTCAAATGAAGAATTTGGCCTGAATGTAAAAATGAGAATTGCACTTCCAAAGGTATTAAATGTTGCAGCTGTCTTATTTAAGTAATTTTCTTTGAATCTTCTAAAGTAAATCTATAAGTACAAAACAATATTTTTTCTTGCTAGAGAATATTTTTCATAATCTTTTTCCAGAAAAGTTGAATTAAATCTTTTACTGTTGACTAGCATTTTTGCTCACATCTATCTTTATCTATGCCTTCCACATTACACGTATATATGGTGGAGATTTTGTCTTTACTTTTTCTTCTCTTGGTTTATGCCTAGCACAGTTTCTTCAGGGGAGAGACCAACTGTCAGAGCATATGTTTACAGTATAGGTTTATTTTGACTTTGCACTCCTGCTTTAATTCACCATGGTAAGTTGGGTAAGTTCTGCCTATTTAATTTAGTTTGCCTATTTTAGCTGTCTGATTTTAAAAATAAACATAGGTAGTAAGAGGTGGGGTGGGGATAAGTGTAAATAGAGCTGTGCATGTATAAAATATACTGGAAATGGCTCTTTGATGCAGTTCCTAAAGTTAGCATTCCTATCTGGATAAATGATATAAAAAATATTGCTGCTGTTACCTGTAAATTTACACTGGCAATCTCACTTTAATTGGCACATTTGTGGCAAAGGACTCTTCTAGCAGATATTGCCCTGCTGTACTACTGTAGGAACAAAACTAGGAAGGGAGAAAATTCCCAAATCTTTCCCCCACATGGCCTGCCAAATCTCTTTTTGGGCTTCCAGATAGCCCTGTTAATTTGCAGAAGTTGTCTGTCATGACCTGACTAGAAGGCTTATTGCAATGGAGGGGCGTGCTTGGGTCCATGCTGTGTAAGTAGCTTTTGTCTTAACAGTTTAGTATAAAAACATTAAAGAAAGCATAATTCATGTTATCTAAGGAACCAGTAAAAAAAACTGCACAGACTTAAATCTCTGGCATTCTTTAGTCTAAGAAAATGATACCTAGCAGTGCCATGAACTCCACATCTCTGGCCTACATCAAGTAGCATGGTCAATTCTAGGCTGGGGGCAGATGAACTCCTGCCCATAATAACAGATAAGTTACTATTCTTGCTAACAATTGTTTTGGGTTATAATTTTTTTCCCCTCTGAAGTTAATTAAGGCTCTTTTGAATCTGTCTGCCCAAAAGTTGCAGTAAGGGTAAGCTGCAGAGCTAACAAATGGCTTGAGGACTGATAGAATAGTTCACAAAAGCTTATTTTGAAATTAGCTCTTATTCTCTTATATATGAAAGTTTTGGGGTTTTCTTTTCACATCCAAGTTTCCAGATGACAAAAAGTCAGATTAGAAAATAATCCAGAGTTTTTTGCTTTCTTTTGAAATAAACATCTGCATAATCTTTAGTTCCTCTAACTAGAAACACAGTTGTCCAGTTTGTGGTTCGTGTCTCATTAAGGTATTATGCACACATGACAATAAAGTCTAGAGCTTCACCGTAAATAGTCAGCTTGGCAATGGACAGATGTTTTCTAAATATTTTGTAGCTCATTAACACAACTGATGTTACTACATGAAAGCTAAAGTTCAATAAGAAAATTCTGCATTCAGCTCAGAGTATGTTTGTGTTTCCCTGAAGCATGGTAGACACCTTGGCATAACGTAGCAGCACATAATGGTTTGTGGGTTTTGAAAAGGTGCAGGCCATATTGTGCTGCCTCAAAAATACAAGGATTTCATCACCCTGAAGAGACATACCACTTATGAATTAGTCAATCTTATGATGCTGATGTCTGTCATACTTTAGCAGCACGTAAATATTGGTGTTAAGACTGTAAATATCTCCAGTATTAACTGTGCTGCTGAAGTAAGGCTAGCCACTTCTGCACGTGAGTCGTGGAACAGGACATTGCATGTATTCCCTGTGCCTTTTTGTTGCTGTAAACTTATCTATTGTTTGTTTGTATATGAACACTTTCTTAGCCTTTTTTGTGTTTTCATTTATTCAGAAACTATATTTAGAGCTTCATAGTATCTGATGGTAAATAAAATAGACATATATATAATTTTGTATTGGTTTATGTGAAAACTGAACTTTTTTAAGGAGCCATCTCAAGCTACACCTGTCTAACAATGCTTTGGTAAGTGTGTTTGTTTATATATTTAAAAACTATAAAAATTAAGTTACTTTAATTCTCAAGACATTTCTTTATTAAAACTCATAAAACTGTTAATTTTTACAATCTTTTCTAAATTACTGGAACTGGGAAGTATTTGGTCATGCTTTTAACAAAGAAAGCTCATAAAGAAAAAGTGTCTTCCAATTTTTTTAACAAAACTTATTAACCACTTCATTTCTTAAACCACTGGGCTATAGACAGGTAACAGTTTTATGGTTAGAAGTTTAAACTGCGTATCTGACTGTGAATTTACTAATTTTTTTTCTCATCTTCCACTAAGATTTTTCTCTTGCAGGAGAATCTTTCATTGAGATGATTGAAATTGCTGCAGTGAGAATGGAAATTACTTGGGCTCCTTTCCTTTTAAAAGCTGCATGCAAGAACTGTGTGGTGAGTCAAATGTAGACTAATGGTTATGTAAATGTCACTAATTTTAGATACAGATCTGAAAGTGTGTTTCCTTTTAAGATTTTATTTTCTTCACTATCATGACTCAGTATCACTTGCTAATCTAATTTTTAGCCCTGTTGTATTTTACCATTTAAAATACACATACCTTATTCAAATAGGTCTTCACAGAGTCAAGTTAATACATCATATAGATGTTTTAAAAGGAGGAAAAAAGGCTTATCTGCACTCAAGAGTTGTTTTGATTTTAGCCTTCACAGAACTGCTACTGGTGCAGTTGCACAGGTACAGACATGATGTAGATGAATATGAATCCAAATTGTTATAATTCATTAGTTTGCATTATTTGACCATATTTCATAATTTCCTACTGGTAAAATCACATTCTCATTTTCTACTACTGCTATTAATTAGAACTGACAAAATTACTAACAGCTAAAATTTCCGATTTAGTTCAGACCTGAGCAGTTCTCAATAGCACAGCTATGCAGAATTAGATAGCCTACAGCTTTTCATAAAGAACATTTGTGTGCACATTTACCTACTACATTTCTCTTAAGACACATGACCAAAATGAAGTTGACTACTTAGAAAAAATATCCTATCTGGCTCAAAGTTGGATAGCTTTCTCATTGAGTTTCTTTAGGTGAGTTTCTTTAGGGAGTTTCTTTTCTTTCTTTCAACCTATGTAACTGCTAAATATTAAAGATCTGCACATATACTTCAGCCATTTGAGAACTTAGAAATGCTTGGAAGGACCTTAAAGGTCTCTGCTTTTTTTCATCATGCTGCAGACTGGTGCTTGCCGCAGGCCCATCCATCCAGTTGCTCTTGTAGATCTAGTATTTTAATGTACCCAGGATTTTTCCCAGAGACTTCCATGAGTAGATGTGAATCTAAAGAGCTGATCAGAGACTTGAGAGCATGCAACAAATAAGTCTATTTGCCTGGCTTTGTCAAAGTCCAGTGGCCAAACTGTTTGTTCCTGACTACTTCATTGTACTCGTGTTGGCCTTTGTGAGAAGAGTGAAGCAGCCTGTGCTTCCTTCTGGTTCACCATGCAAACTCCTATCACTGGCACAAGGGCAGGAAATAGCAGGGAGCAGGAAGAAGCAGAAGGGCAAAGGTTGGAGTGCCTTGTTCGGTGGCCCTAGCAGCATAGAATAGTTCAGTGACATGGTGAAAACACAGTTTGAGCATTTGCAGAACCAGAGTTCAACTGAGGAACCAAAGTTCCTGTCTGGATAAGAAAACTACTTCAAGTGCTTATGAAGGCCTACTCAAATGATTCACTTCCTAAACCTTTGCAAAGGATGTTACATTTCTCACATGGTACTCAGGTGGCTTAATATTAGCAGTTATATTTTCCAGAGGTTTGCCTGTATGGGTGGTGCCAGAGACTGTGGCTGGATCAAACTCACTTCATGTTGCAGCTCTGGGGTCCTAAGGACTGTGCCTGATGTAAGAAAGGAAGGCTCACTGTTTTCAGTTCAGGTGTTTATTTTCTGCTAGGCTTAGGAGCTGTATGGGAAAAAGATGCTTAATTCACATTTAAAGGCAAGAAAATATAGGCCTGCTTGAAAATAAACTGAGGCTAATAGCTGTATATGAGTGAAGACAACTAGTTTTAGGAGCATGTCTAAAAGTGCGATGTTAAAAGGTTGGAGCTGAGAACAGATACAGGAAGATCTGATGAAGTGGAAAATCAGAAGGATTGAAATATGTTGGGCAAAGATTTGGGGGTTTGTTTGTTTACTGAAATTGGAGAAGCAGCAGCCTGACTGAGGGCATCTGGCTTGAGGCAAAGAGAGCAAGTCAAGTTTAGGGAAAGAGGCTTGCACTCCTTAGATGATTGCTAACATTCACTGGAGTGCTCTGCACTTCACATCCAGAAGGGAATACAGACTGTTAAGTAGTAGCTTTTGCTGTCACATGGGAAATCACTGTCAATTTCACCCCCCTCCTTGTATTCCACAGAGAAGAGGGCAAACCTATTAGTACCCTCAGCTACTTCATGGATTTTGGTCCTGAAAAGAAATCTCAAAGTAAGAGTAGTTGAGGTTGTAAGGGAGATCTCTAGTTCAAACAGGGTAGTTTTTTTAAGGCTATGTCCAGTCAAGTTTGAATATATTCAAGGATGGAGACTTGGCAGCCTGTCCTATTCAACTAGAATTTCATGCACTTAATTTCTTACCTGTGGCCTCTTGTCCTGTCTCTGGACAGAGAAGATCCTGGCTGTGTCTTCTTTACTCTGCTGTACCCCCACCAGCAGGCATTTAGAAACATTGCTGAGATCACACAAACACAAGCCCTTTCTTCTCCAGGCTGGAGTCTCAGCTCACTCAGCTTTCTTCATGTGAAAGATTCTTCAGTTCTCTCATCGTCTTTGTGGAAGTAAATAAAATGCTTCATCTAATAAGGGGAATTAGAATTCAAAGGAGGAAATGTTTTTTTTTTTGGGGAGGGGGGGAGAATAAAGCACAAGCTAATAACTGTAAAAAGAACAGAAAGATCAGAAAATGAAACATTAAGAAGTTAGATAACTCCTGCTTTAAGATTCTGCAATCTTCATTTGCCCCCTTGTGTCAGTATACTATGAAGCAACCTTTGTGATCACACAGAATGTTTAATCTATTGATAGGGTCAGCCTGTGGTGCTGAGCTGGAGAGGGTGCTTGTGGGCTGCAAGCAAGAAGCCTGACATTGCTATAGGTGCTGCAGACATTAGTAAAAAATTCTCTAGGCAATGGAACAAATGGCTGCAAGTAGAGAAAACCATGTCTTCATGGTTATGTCAAGTGAGAATTCCTAAGAATTGGATGTGATGTTTATTTTTTGCCTTTATTCTTGTGTGATGCTGGACAAGTAACCAGGCCATTGTTTCTGTAGCGTGTATATTGTGCTTTACTTTAGAGGTGTCTGATTTAAAACTCACATCTGAAAGAAACACTGGTGGTTCACATTGGTAGCTGAGCTTCTTAGGAGTTGTTATTTGAATTATAATACTCTGTAAAGTTATGTCTGCTGACAGTCTCCTGTCTTCTTAAAAAGAGCTTCAAACTGTTGTATACTCTAATAGCTTCTACACCTCCATGTCATGTTTAAAGTAGGGGTAATGGACACAAACCTTGAAGGGCTGGTAGCTACTTTTGTTTAGTAGCTGTACTACAATAATGCATTGCCTTATGGAATTTTATATGGCATTTAATAATTCTGATTTCAGAGGAAGAGGTGAGTACTGTGCATCTTTTAAAGACCAGATCTGCAATCAACTTTCCTTGTTACCAGCTCAGGCTGGGAAGCAGAGTTTCTGTGCTGTTTATTCATGGTCTATTTCTGCAGTACCGTGAACTCCAAAATACTCTGATTTGTGTCCTGTCTTGTCACGGATTCATTTTGCAAATATAACTCATTATTAAACACTTGTGTGTGCCATTTTTTCTTGTCATTTTTGTAACATCGTCAACATTGTGCAAAATCTTCTGTATAGTAAAGGTAATGTACATGTTTGAACTTCAGCATATTTGACAAAAAATTTACCTGAAGATCTATTTTCAGAAAGAATGAGCTATTTAAATTGCAAGTTTCTTAATGTACAGTGATAAGCACTGCATCTCTAAAAATATGAAGTTGCTTATACCTAAGTATTTAGGACTTCTGCCATTTTCCTCAAATTTCAAAGGCAGTTTTCTTGGTACTGCCTATGGCATACTTTGGTGAATGAGAGTGGTCTGTACTAGAAATTTGGATACAGTGATCTGAAAATCCAAAAATCCAAAAAATGTTTCAGCTTTTCCTTTAGTCATGGTATCTTAAGTATTGGGGAAAATCTCTTCTAATCAGGTAGCTACATTAGCAGCTATGTGTTTAGGTTCCCTTTATCTGCATCGCAACCTATTGTCACAGAAGTCACAAGAAATTATAGAAATGTGCCCAAAGTGGTCAGCTGCTATTGTACCAGTTTAACAGTAGCAGCAATTCTTCATATAAAAAACAAACTAAACATTTAAAATGTATTTGAATGAAAACTTATGTCTGAGGTATATGCAAATCTCCTTTCTAAGGTAGCAGTTGTAAGTGTATCACAATAAAATATTTAACTAGAAAGAGAAATAAGAAAAAATGATGGAAAAATACAATGGCATGAGTGACATTGCTCATCTTTCTGTGATGGGGATAATAATACTTATTTTTCACTCTAAATAGTTTATTTCTGTTAGAAGCTTTTTAATGGTTGTCAGGTGCAACTCTTTTTTTCCCCATGTTTTATTAACTTATAATTAATAGCTCTGTATTTGTTAATAAATAAAATTTCTTATATTGCTTCTGCCTCTTAATGTAAAATTTGAACTTTTATGTTCAAAAGTTCTGAAATTACATATTAATTATAGCAGCATTTATCTAGTTTGTATCTTCAGTCTAAAGTATACAGTGCATAGTAGGTGAAGGCTTAGTTTCTCTTGAGAGATAGGAATAATATATCCATAGTGTTTTCTTCTGCTGTTTATAGCCATAGGAGTCAGACATGGATAGAAAGCTTCTCATTTCCCTATGTTTCTGCATGGCAAGTATGTGGCTTTATTGCCCATAAAAGAACCTTCTGTTAGCAGGTTTTATACTTTTAAGTAATTTTAAAAGTAAAACATTTTGGAATCTCTCAAGAAATACTCAAAAAAACCTTAAGTATTATAAAACTTGAAGTATATAAGGCATAAATTATAGCAAAGAAAGTCTCAAATGTATAAATTTTTAATGTTTTATTGAAATAAAGGCAAAGGAAGAGCTTCAGGGGTTATATTATTTGACCAGCTAGAATAGTCAACAATAATATAAGACTGTGGTTCTACAGCCTCGTGATTCTTGAGCCAGACAAGTTTGGGAATGAGTTTTCTTGTTTCCTTGCTATTACCCTGGCTCTCATATGTCTTTGGTGGTTTCACTATATGACTTTAGGTTAGTTTTTGGTAAGCTCAGCCAGCTGAA